AAAGGAATGTGGCTGGGTAGTAATGATTAAAACCCAGTTTAACAGACAGAATGGAACAGCAACAAAAGGTGAAACCGTAGTTTCAAAACGATGAAAACAAGTGCTACGTACCAGATTCGATGGGACACGAGCAAAAGCCTGCATCAAAAACACCTGATAAAAATATGAGCTCACTGTTAAGAGATTTTAGAAATATTGAAGTAAGCTTAAAACCTCTAAGAGAGAGAGGTGAGGAACCAGCGATACATCAGAATAACAGTAGACAGACCTGAAAAGCTGTCCTGTGGAAGACCATCAGAACAGAACCATCTCAGAGGGAGAGAAACATCCAGAATCAGGAACAGTGCCACACACATAGACCTAAATAATAAAAGATGATTTTCTAACAAATAAAAATGACTGAAAGTAATGGGCAGCAAAGTGAGGAAGCTGGTACCTGCCCAGAAAGCAGGGGGAGAATCACTCAAGTCCACGTGGAAAACCCCCAGTGTAGCTGATTTCATTGTTGAATTTTGTCGAGCTAATAAAAAGCTAATTTTTGTGTTATTTTACATTGATGGCTTCCTTTTTTCCTTTTTGAACAATTTCATTGGGATATAATTCATATACCATACACTTACCTCACTTAAAGGATAGGGTATACCATTTGTGAGTGAGTAGTCTGTTTTCAGTGTTTACAGTCCCATGCAGCCATTCCGGTGAGGAGTTTTAGGATATTTTTATCATGCTACAGAGAATGTCCATGCCTCTCAGTCAGTGGGAGTCACTCACCCATTCAGCCCACAGCTACTCCTGCTGGGCAGCCTTTTGCCAGTGCTTGGCTGCCTGTATAACTCGGAGAGTGGTGAGATGCTCACCTGACCAGGAGGCTAGAGGCTACAGTGGACTGACCAAATCTGGATGCTGTGGTACATGCCTGTAATTCTAGCACTTTGGATAGGGCAGAGGATGTGTAGTTAAGGTTATCCACAAGACAAGTTTAAGGCCACTTTGGGCTACGTGAGTCCTGTCTAAAAACACAGAAATGATTTTTATTTTTTTCAATAGTCTTTGAGTTAAAAAACGGTAAATTTACAAACAGCATTGATTTTAGCTGTGTTACATTTTATACAAAGATATTTTCTTTGGAATGTAGCAGATGTCTAAAAGCACTTCAGAGTAAGCGTGAAGCACTTGGATTTTTTTTAATGTTTGGGTTTTTACTGTCTGAGGCAGGGCTTCAGCTCTGCAGCCTAGGCTGGCCTGGAACTCTCCTGGTTCCTCAGGCCAGCCTCAGACTTGTCCTCATGCCTTCCTTAGCCTCCCAAGTGCTAGCATTTCCAAGCGCCCTTATATCAGTTCTCAGCCAGTTTTTATCAGCAAGTCCGTAATGGATTTTAAAGAGCATTCTGCTCGCTCGTGTGATGGTGTGATGTCTTGTCTTTTATAGGTTCTAATCAGACAGGAAATCCAAAGGAAGAGTGGCTACGCCATCCAGGCTGATGAAGAGCAGTTGCGGGTCCAGCTAGATACTATCCAGGGTGAACTCAATGCACCTACTCAGTTCAAAGTAAGCACTTGGAAGTCGATCCCCCTAGAGGTTGTCTGAGGTGATCTAAACAGAGTTGAGCCATCACACAGGAACGTGGAGCATTGTGTGTCTTAAGCATTTGTTCGCACTAGTTAAAACTTCCTAAAATAAATTCTCAGTCATGGTACTTTTGGCTTGCATTAGTGCTTCCAATCAAAGACCTGGGAGTTGTAACTAATGGTTTTGAAGCCATCATCTTTAGGAGTAGCTGTGATTGTTAGCGCTTGTTTCTGACTCATTTTTAGGGTCGCCTAAATGAACTGATGTCCCAGATCAGGATGCAGAATCATTTTGGAGCTGTGAAATCTGAAGAAAGGTATTACATAGATGCAGACCTCTTACGAGAAATCAAGCAGGTAAGTGTCAGCTCACAGCTTCGTAGCCATCAGGGTGGGTGCTGGTCAACAGCAGAAATACTCACCAATTAGAATGTGGAGAAATTGTAACCTTCAGGCACCTTTAAGTAATGTAAAATAAATAAAAAAAAACACCAAAAAACAAAACAAACAAACAAAAAAAACATGCTTCCTCAAAAAATTAAAAGTAGGCAGTGGTGGTGCACACCTTTAATCCCAGCACTTGGGAGGCAGTGGCAGGCGGATCTCTGTGAGTTTGAGAACAGCCTGGTCTACAGAGCAAGTTCAGGACAGCCACAGATACACAAAGAAACCCTGTCTCGAAAAACAAAAAACAAAATTAAAAGTAGAATTACCATATCATATGGCAGTTCTGTTTATTTTTGAAAGACAAGGTCTCACTATGTAACCCTGGTTGGTCTTGAACTCAGAGATCTGACTGCCCTGCCACTTGAGTGCTGAGATTCAAGGTGTGTGCCACCATGCCCAGCCAGCTCTATTTCTGGGTATATACACCCCAGGAAGTTGAAGGCAGCAATCTGCACAGACACTTACACACCTGTGTACTTACACATGTAGTAGAGTGTTACTCCCTCCTAAAGAGGAGGAAATTCTGACACATGCAACAACATGGATAGATCTTGAAATATGTGGCCATACAAGGAAAAGTATTGTATGATTGCCCTTCTGTGGAGCAGTAACCAATGATGTGAATGTACACAACATCCCTGCACACTGAACATGGTCCACGTATTGTTACGCCACAGGAAAGTGCCAGATATCTATAGAATAGAAGTGCCAACGGGCAGACAGCGGCAGAACTCAGGTCACTGGGAAGGTAAATCTCAGGCTTCCTCCATATCCTCTCGGCTGCATTTTATCACAGTCTAGATGGTCTGTATGTATGTGAAATTGAGAAGCTGGGACTGGGGATTCGGCTCAGCTGGTAGAGAGTGCTTGCCTACTGTGCATGGAACTATGGGTTCAGTCCCCAGCACCACAGACGGACACTGTGGTAGTGCACACCCACAGTCCCAGCATTCAGGAGGCCCTGTCTGTGAAAATACAGAAAACACGTTTTAAAGATACTGTTGATGCATACTTGTCTGCTCTACCTGGTTTTAGAGTGGTCTTGTGCTGATGATCACTGTCCCACTGTGCATGCTGCTTGTATTTAGTCACTAAGTGCTGTATTGTGAGTACTTTGTGAGTAGCCTTCAGTTTAACAGGACAGTACACTCATCTTTTATTTTCTTTAATTCATTCTAGCATTTGAAACAACAACAGGAAGGCCTCAGCCACTTGATCAGCATCATAAAAGATGACCTAGAAGACATAAAACTGGTAGAACATGGATTGAGTGAAACCATCCACAGCAGAGGTGCTGTCTTTAGCTGACCATTGACAGACTTGTTCAGAGGTTCAGAAAGTGCATCTTGTCCATCAGCCCTTCCTTACAATGACCACATGGACAGGAAAAAGAATCCTTTTCCTCACTGGGATGTTTGAGGTTCTTGAGAAATTACTGTACATTAAATCGGAAATGGACACCACAAAGCTCTTCAAAGGGAATCTTTGAAAAATTTATATCTAAAATCTATATTTACTTAAAAAAACAGTACACAGTTACCCAAAGTGTATGCCCTGTTGTACATTTTACAACAGCACTAGGCATAGTCACAGTGGTTCCTGGTTAGTCTCCATTCTCCTTTTCCATAGCACAGAATGAAACATGGCTACTTCCTACCTAACAAAGGAAGCTGTAATTACGTGGCTGTTGGAGACTGCTCCGGAGTGTAACTGCATTTCAGCTTCTAGAGCTGGGAAATCATCGGTGGAGAGTAAAGAGAATCCCAAGTATTTCATTTGATTTGTGTGGTTTTCCTTCGGTTCTATGAAGACTTGAAGATATATTTTTATATTATTTTACTTATTTGGAACTTACAGAACATACCTAACCAATTAGGATTTAACAAAAATCACCGTTTTTGCAAACTTTTTTTTAACTTTTTATTTCTAAAAATGAAATCTTTAAAATAAATTATTAATTTGCAATTTCATGTAGTTCTGTCCTGTGGTGTTTTGTTTAAGGACTTGTCAGTGCTGACATTTTGGCTAGAATATAATAAATGAAATCATCTAGGATGAAGAGTTCCCTTGTACATCAGCATCTGAAACAGTGGCTGAGTAGACAATGTAACTCTTGCACAGCGCACCGCTTTTAAATACGACTTCTGACTGCAGGACTCACCTGGGATGCAGCTGTTGACACCTTCCCAAATGCTGCAACTACGTTACGCTTCTGTGTGGTGCTTTGGCTTATACTTTGGCTTATACGAGAGAACACTTGCCGTTGTACCAACGTGGTGGGTGGGTAGGGAAAGGGCTGGGTCTAGAATCCTGCTGACGCAGAGGCGGTTACACCGTAAAGACCAGACGCTTCAAAACTTCTTTCCAAGTTGGCTGCTAGCAGTCGCTGCTGCTGAGCGCAGCATGCTTAAGTAACACCGCTCTCCCCTGGGGCTTTGGGGTTTTCATCTTAATTTCATGCTTGTTGCAATGGCCGTGGTTTGGGGAGAGGGTTTTCTCTGCATGAGCTCGTTCTCACTTTGGCTCAGAGGCTAGGACCATTCCCGTCTTTGGAGCCAAGTGCAGGAAGGAGGGTCTGCTGCCCTGTGTACCCTTCCGTAGACCTGAACGGTGACTGCTGAGTGCAGGCTCAGTGGTGGGTAGCTGATCGAGGCTCTCACTCATCCCACCTCCCCTGGAGCACATGTGCACACTGCCAGGAGAAGGGGGTGTTGCTGAGAAGGGGAGACGGAAGGTAACAGCTCCCAGTGGGAAGTCGCACAGGGTCCCCAAGGGGCTGCTTCCTGCCTGCAATTCTCCACGGCTTTGTCCCTGGGAACAAGAGGCTGCCCACCGTCTTAGCTCACTCGCTTTCCTGTCTGCCTATTTATTTGAAGTTTGATTCTTCAGAAAGAAACAAGCATTCACATTTTGTTTCTGGCATTAAATTCATGTTAATCACATGAGTAATTTAATAGTTGGAAATTCTAAAGGAAGACATTTAATAAACTTAAAAGTTTTATTGAATCCAGTCAAAAGTATACAGCTTTGGGATTTTTGCAATCCTAAAATTAATCAGAAATGAAAAGTGAATCCTATGACACTATTTGGACCAGCTTTTGAAACTGTAAAACAGGGAAGAGATACACAGTTCTTATTTTATGCAGTGAGTCTGTCACATCTCTTCTCGTGACCTTCTGTGGGATCCCCTCAGCGCCTTTCCAATAAAGGTTAAGATCCCGTCTCAAGCTCTAGAACAGTGAGGATGTTTACAGCAGAAGCGACCGCTAAAACAATGGATGCTGTGACTGGTGGGAGGAGTCTTCTGCCGAAGGATGCAGAAGGATGGGTCTTGGGACGTGGAACTGGACGTGGACCTGGAGCTGTTGGAGAGAACAGTCATGGACACATCACTTCGTGGTATGTCTTGAGTGTCCGCCGCCTACCACAGACAGCACAACTGTGCTGCGGCAGGCTGTGGCAGAGACCCACTGGAACAAGTCAGGTAACGTTGCACATGCACGCAGCTTCAAAGCTTCAAGCTACATTTCTACATGTGTCGTCAGGGCATACTGTTGGAGGGTTTTGTTTTTGTTTTCTCAGATTTCACAGGGCTTTTAAATCTCTCTAGGCAACCAAGACAGTTATTTCTTGTTCAAGTGCACCAGAATTGTCAAGTTTACCTCAAGTGTCGTGTTTCAAACAAGACAGTGTGTGTGCATATTCACACGGATATCAGTGTAGCTGGATATAACTGCGTTTTTAAAGCACAGCCTACAAACAGGGAAAAAAGTTTCCTCCACACGGACATGGCTTTGGGGAAAACTAGCTTGTTTTACTCTGCTTTAAACCCGGGTAACTTGCTTACACTTTTTGTTTAAGCAGAGTGCACAGGGAAGGGAGCACTCTCTCGGAGTTTATGAATGAACCAGTCAGCTTTCATCCAGGAAGCCAAGAGAAACCGTAGTTTTCTAGGGCTGCCTGTCAGTTTGCTTGCCGGAGTTGCAGACATGGCAGTCTCGTGGCTCGAGGTGGACCGGCAGGCCACCCGTGCACCAGGATGCTCTGCAGACCAGCGTTCACATGTGGGCAGTACTGCACCTGAGAACAATCTAGAAGCTGTCCAGGGTGGGATGGGGGTGCTAATGACTGAACTTGGGCCTTACAGGTGCCAGCTCTGCCACTGAAGGAAACTTTTTTACTGTTGGGAGCTAGATCTGAAATGCTCGGGATAGCCTGCCACAGTGAAGCATGGACCTACCCTCTGCAGTTTTCAAGTATGCTTCCAGACACATGGAAATCAAAAATTGCTCCCAGAGCTCACACAACCTGGAGCAGCTTGCCATGCCAGTAAACCAAGTATTTTCCGATTGGTTTTTGCAAGACAGGGTTTCTCTGTGTAACAGCCCTGGCTGTCCTGAAACTCACTCTGTAGACCAGGCTGGCCTCGAACTCACAGAGACCCACCTCCCTCTGCCTCCCGAGTGCTGGGATTAAAGGCTTGGGCCGCCACCACCACCTGCTGTTGTGATTGTTTTAATTATCACTAAACAGTTTATCTACTGTCCGCTGCTATCTCACTTTGATCGTACAAGGAATAGCTTCCAGTATGCCCTTCACCCACATTTTCATGGAGGGTATGTCCACTTTATGAATTTAGCGTTTATGCATCGAGACATATAGCTACAAATATTGTCGGAACATGCCAATTCTTTTACAGGTAAGGTACATCGTACCACTAATCTTATTTCAGGATGCTATGATGGTTTTATGAAAATTTTTTTCTTGAAAAAGGATGGCTTAAGAGAGCTGAAAATGTTCTAAGTACAGTCTCTAGACAGTTAATGGTCATTTAAAGTAAACAGGGGCGGTGGGGGGGCCTCTTCTGCATGCACATAAGCACATGCAACTTTTAATAAGAAAAAAATTAACTTCACATTTTTATATTTCACAGCATTTATCATCTGAAGAAAAGAAGGTTTTCTATTTCTTACTGGGGTTGTCCGCATTTCTTTGACTTTTGCCTTCTAGAACATAAAGAGATTCTGGGTTACTGCGTTATATATTCTCCAGAAAGATCTCATAAAGCTGGAACAAGCTTCTTCTCCCCTTGGGTTTGGGCCTGGGGCCAAGGTAAACTGGTCCAGGGACATATGTAAGGCTAGAGAAGGCTTTAATTTGACCTATCTGCTCTCTGAAAAGGTCCCCCCTGAATGTGTGTTTTCGTTAAAATAAATGTGAAGTGTGTTTACCAAAAAGAACCCTTTTCTATATATTGAACTCTGACTGCCAAGTACAAGCCACCCCGTCTCCCAGTTACTGAGTACCAGCGCATTATGAGATCAGCACTTTATCATCCTACTGGGCACAGCTAGCACCTCAAGAACACTGCAGCCACCTGCACTGTCTGAGACACAGTGTGCATGGAATCAGAGCTCATGCATCCATGGGATCCGTGTCTGACTGGCCTCTGCTCCATTGCTGTGGTCTGCCACCACCATGTGTGTGGCTAGCCTTGGAATACTGATACTCACATCTTCATAAT